CCTTTTGACTTATCTATGGACTACTTAAAAGTGTGTTAGTTTTTAAATATTTGAGAATTTTCCAAAAATCTTTTTGTTATTGGTTTCTACTTTAATCCCAGTGTAGTCTAAGAATATACTTCATTTGGCTTGAATCCTTTAAAATTTACCAAGACTTGTTCTATGACCCAGAATATGGTCTATCTTGGTAAGTGTTTTCTATGAACTTGAAAAGAATGTGTATTTTAGTGTTGTTTGAAGCAACAAAGTGGAGTGTGAAGAAAGGTGAAATATTCTGTAAATGTCAATCAGTTCAAATTGGTTGATAGTGTTGCTCAAGTCTACTTTATTGCTGGTTTTCTGCCTACTCATTCCAATAGGTTTAAACCACAGAACTTTTTTGTACTAAGCTAATGGAGTCACCATTATACCATAAAAACTGAGTGTCAGCTGTAATGAATTATAAATCTGTATGCCTAGATTTAGTAAGTGGAGTATTGAGAGTGGAGTATTGAAATCTCTAGCTATAATTATGAATTCATCTATTTTTTCTAGGAGTGCTATCACGTATTTTGCTTCATGTATTTTGAAGCTATGTTATTAGTTGCATTTAAGTTTAGGATTGTACATTTTGACTCCTTTATTATTATGAAAATACCTTCTTTATTGCAATAACATTCTTTGCTCTGAAATCTTTGTTTTTAACACAGCAACTCCAGTTTTCATTTGACTAGCTTTACCAGAGTCTTGTTCTATCCTTTTACTTTCAACCTTTTTATTTATTTATTTTTTAAAGTGTATTTCTTTAAATATAGGAAGTATATTGTTGTCTTGCTATTTTGATTTATGTCAGTCTCTGCCTTTTAATTGGAATGTTTAGACCATATTTATTTTCATATGATTAACGTGCTTAGATTTGAGTCTTATCATTTTGATTTTTGTTTTCTGTCTCATCTGTTCTTTGTTTCTTTTGTCCTCTTTTTCTGTCTTTTAAAAGTTGAGTTATCTTTTTCTGATTCCATCTTATCTTCTTTATTCTTACCAGCCATAAGTTTCTTTGTTATTTTTGAGATTGCTTTAGGGTTTATGGTATATATCTTTAACTTATCAGAGTCTACATTCAATTAATACTATATCACTTCCCTTATTATAGTATAATAAGTATATTATAGTATAAGAACATTTCTTATCTTAGAGTCTTTGTTATTGCCATCCTGTATTTTACTTTTATATGTTATAAAACCCACATACATTATTATTTTTATTTAAACAGGCAACTATCATTTTTAAAGTTTTAGGAAAGAAAAAAATCTGAAATATATCCCATGTAGTTACATTTCCAGTGCTCTTCATTCCTTTGTGTAGATACAGGATTTCATTTGGTATCACTTTCCATAAGTATTCCATACATGTCACTCATGTATTACTTTAATAATTCTTTTACTATAGGTCTGCTGGTGAGAATTCTTTCAGCTTTTTTATGTCTGAAAATAATTTCACCTTCATTTTTGAAATATATTTTTGCTGAATATACATATAGATACAATTTTGTTGGAGTGCATTAGAGGTGTTCCTCCATTGTCTTCCTGTTGCATTGTATCCTTTGTTCCTCTCTATATAACATGATGCACTGTATCTTTGTCTTGTTCTGTATGTAACGTCTTTTTTCTGACTGCTTTTTAAGATTTTCTATCATTGGTTTTTGTGCAATTTGGGTGATGTGCCTTATTTTTTGTGCTTCCACTTCTTTGATTTTGTATTTGGGTTTTCCAGAGAAACAGAACCAACAGGATGTATGTATGTATAGATAGATTTTTTTTTAAGGAATTGGTTCCTGTGATTGTGGGGGCTGAAGTCTGAAAGCAGGTCAGCAAGCTGGAAATTCCAGCAAGAGTTCATGTTGCAGTCTTGAGACTGGAGGAGGTAGACTTGGCGGAATTCCTTCCTTAAGGCCTTCAACTGACTGGGTGAGGCCCACCCACCTTACAGAGGGGTGGTTCTTGTTTTCCTCAAAGTCCACTGATTTAAGGGTTATCATGTCTAAAAAGGAACCTTCCCAGCAACATTTAGATGGGCATTTGACCAAAAACAGCACTGTAACCCAGTCAAGTTGATATACATAAAATTAGTTACATAACGATCACAAATTTGTACGTTTATAGTTTGGACATATTTTAGCCATTAGTTCATATATTTTCTGTCCCTAGCTTCTCTTGCTTTCAGGATCTCCAATTACCTGTATATTTGGCCATTTGAAGTTATTTCATAGTTCATTAATGCTATTTTCACTTTGTTTTTTAATTCTTTTTTTCTCTGTGTTTTATTTTGGATAGTTTCCATTGCTATGCCTTCCGGATCACTAATCATTGTTTTTGTAATACCTAACCTATTTTTAATCCCATCCGGTGTATTCGTCTTCTTAGATATTGTCAAGAAGTTCACTTTGGGTCTTTTTATATCTTCCATGTCTCTGCTTAGCTTTTGATCATACAGAATATGGTTATAATAACTTTAAATGTCTTTCATTTCTAATTCTATCATCTGTGCCAATTATGGATCAGGTTCAGCTCATCTCTTATGGTTTGTGTTCAGTGAATAAGACAATGATAGAGTATGAAAAAAGTTAAACTTGGATTCAGAGAAGGAAAAGGTAAGTGGGCCAAGGAAGCCTTCATGGAGTTGGGAACTGAACTGAGCCTTAAAATATATCAAGAATGCAGCTTGTCAGGGAGGAAGACACCTGGTAGGAAGAACAGCCCAGGTAAAGGTGAGAAGGTAGGCAGGCACGGGCACCTTCAGAGTACAGTGAGGCTAAGGGGGAGATGGGCAGTCAGCAGCCTGGGGCATGTGCTACCTGTGCTCAAAGCACAGTGCTGAAGAAATATTTGAGTCTTAGTTTTCGAAGCAGGGAAAGGTCTTACAGCCATGATTTAGGAAGACTAACCTAGGGGTGTAGGTGGAGTGAAATGGAGGGAAAGGGGTTAAGAGGCAGGAGCAGAGGCCAAAGGGTGGTGTTTCAGATCCAGAGGAGCAGCAATAGAAACATGAAGAGATGAGGGAGGAAAGAACCAGAAAAGAAGTTGAGGTTTGAATCTGTACTTCCTAGAGAACCTTAACCTTGGCTGGAAAGATGAAATTGGGGGAGTCTAGATCCATGGGAAATGAGTTTTATTTTAGCCATTGGGTCTTCTGGGTAGAGGTGTAGGGCTTAAACCAAGGGTGGAGGTCAGAACCAGACCAGATGGACTGCCTTCTCAGGGAGAGGGTGATGGCTCAGCCCTGAACAAAAGTTCTGGCCCTCTTCCACCACTTGTGTGATAACCTCAGAGAACTTGCTTAAATTCTTTGAACGTCATTTTTCTCATTTTCCAACTGTCATGAGGTTTCTGTGAGGAAAAAAATCAGCTAATGGATGTGTTTCTGTAGTTAACAAAATAATTTACAAAATATGTGATAATAATCCTTTTTATAATTACATTAAGCCATGTGAATGAGTAAGATCTTGGAGGAAGACAGCAGAGAGAGAAAAATAAGAGATCCCAGGGTTAAAAACTTGGGGGAATTTCACAGTATATCATCCAAAAAAGGAGTCCATGATGGAGGCGCAGGTAAACCTGGAGAGGTAAGAGACTCCAAAGATGGGGGATGCTTTGGGGTGGGCTCTGCATACTAGAAGAAATTCTGTTGGTAAACACTCATCGAAAATGTCCATCTAGAGTTCAGGTCTGATAGAAACGAATTTCAGAGTTAGAATCAACGTGAAATGGAGAAAATACACTTCTGCAGAGGTCACTGCCCTGATGTGGGAAACCCCCAGACTCAATCAAATGACCTGTTCACCTCAGGGAACATCTGAAATCCTGAAGATGTTTGTATCCAGTCCTGTAGAAGGAGTGTATTAACAAGAGAAGCTGGTTGGCTAGGTGCCTGTTTTCCGTCTCCAGCTCCCAAACCCAGTCCACACCTTTATCCTCTTTCTTCTCTGGTCTCCCTTTTTCTTCTTGCTCTTCCCACTCTTAGTTTCCCCCTCCCCCTAGCCCATTCTCCATTTTGTTCTAAACCAAAAATCTGCCCAGGTCACTCACGTGCTGAAACCCCTTCCATAGTTCCCTATTGCCCCAGGATAGAGGCTGGTCTTAGGCACACAAGACCCTGCAACCATGGTCTGATCCTCCCTCTCCACTGCTCTCCTCTGTCAATCCCAGGGGCACCCCTGCTCCAGACAACCCTTGGCAATTTCCCACAGCCACCTTAGGATCTCACTCCCTGATTGCAAGGGTGCTTCTCCTAGGAGGCCCTGTCCTTTTGGACTTAATTTGGAAAGCCTTGCTTAAGCCGCAGGCTGAGCCAGATGCCCCTGTGCGTACCCCTGTCATAGGCCAGTGTGGTTGTTGATAAGTCTGATTTCTCATCTTCCTCTGATGGACACCCTCTTGACAACCGGAAAGATCAGTGTCTCTTCTCCATATAGTCCCTTCCATACCGATTTTTCCAAACAAACTCTGACTTCAAGTAGTCTTTCTGGTTGTCAGTCTGCGAGTTCCCATTTGGAGTCTCCAAAATACACACCCACTGACCGTCCCCGGAGAGAATCTGGTCAAGAGCTCTCGAGCTCGAGCGCGCTACCCGCACTTCCCGGGGCGGCCGCCAGGGGCCGCCGGGCTCTTTGTTTTCCTTTCTGGCCGGGGTCGGGGCCGGAGGCCTGCAGAGCGCATGCTCTGGGGCAGTTCGCGGCCGGGCCGGCGTGCGGAGGAGTTCTCTGTGGCCGACCCGCACCGAGGTAGGTCGCGACCGTCACGGGCGGAGGGGTGGCGCGCGGGGCGGCCACGGCCACAGCCGCGGCGGACCGGGCCTTTGCCCGCGCGCGCCCGTGTCGCGCGGCACCGGCGCCACGTGAAGCCGGGCGGCAGGAAGGCGCGGGTGCAGGCGCGCGTGTCCCCGGCCCCCCACGGCGTCCCGGCGCCCGCCGGATCTCGCCTCGCCCGAAGGAGGGCCGCGCGGCCCCTCTACCGCCGCGCCTCTCACGCCCGGGCCGCAGCACCCGCGCGGGCGGGAGATTCAAACGACCCGAGCGCCGCTGGCCGGGGTGCTCGCGGCCGCGGTGACCCCGCCGACTAGGGGTGCTCAGCCCCGCGGGCCTAGCCGGCCGGGCCGGCCACCCTGGCGGGTCTGTTTCCGCACGGGACAAGGGATTTTGGCCCAGCATTCGTTTGAAGAGTGCAAATTTGCAGAGCAGAGAAGGAATCCTGTCGGCGAGGGGCTGCCTTAGGATCTGAGGGTAGGCTGGGGAGGGTCTGCTGCGGGGAAAGAAACCTCAGCGTCAGCAGGGACCAAGACGGATGTTGACCTGTTGGAGAAGTGTGCTGTGAATTCCGCATCAACTCGGCTGTGTAGATTATTTTACTGGCCGTCTACTTCGTGACGCGCTTGCAGGGCTGGGAAACAATGGTGAGAAAGGCCCCCTGTGGCCTTTACGAGCTTCGGTCTCCTTGGGGAGACCCACGTGGTGCCACAGTTGCGATCCCGGGTGATGACCCAAGTATGCCTGTGGAACTAGGTGCGCTGCCAAGTGATTCATTCATCAGATATTAATTGAGGTGCTCCAACCAAGTGTGACTTGTGTGCTCCAGCAGAAGTTGAGTGTACAGAGTGTTACCCAGCGTTGCCCGGGAGGGCCAGGAATGGCTTTGCAGGTGAGGAGACTCTTGAACGGGGTTTTGAAGGAACAGTGGGTACTCAGGCAGACCCCGGGTGGAGGGCTTCCAGCTATCCAGGCAGAGGGCACAGCACATGCAAAAGCATCAAGTATAGGTGAGTGTTGTGTGGCCAGGGATACCCCAGGTGTTGTAGCACAGAGTACAAGGAGGGGAGGCACACGATGATATATCAGGGGCTGGGTCTTGAAAGGTCTGGAGTGTTAAGACCCAGGACTGGGTGGGCGTGGAGGAGGCAAGGATGGTTTCATCCAGAAGGGCCTTGGAGTGGAGTCTGGAAAGATGAATTAGGAGTTCACCATGCTCCTGTTGTGAAGACATTCAGCTTTGTGACTTTCTAGTTGGATGTCCTTGGGCCACCCACCCAATCCCCCTGAGTGTCAGTTTCCTTCTCTGTAAAGTGAAGGTAAGAGGCATGTGGTGAGAATTATTACTATCCTATAATTCCCATAAAGTAGTGGTTCCAACTTCAGGGGGAAGCTGTGCCCCCCACCCCCTGGAAAAATAAACATACATACCCAGGCACAGCTCTGTATACTAGGGTGATCTCTGGGTGAGGTATTTCTGCCCTGTGCCGGGCACATAGCAGGAGCTCAACAAATGTTTGTTGACTGCCCCTCTCCTCCCTTTCCTCCTGGGGACCTTTCTTACAAAAAGAGATTCTTCAGCTTCTGAGTCTGGCAGGCAAATGTCTGCCTCTTGACATTGGGAGGGGTAGGTGGCGGCAGGAACAGCTGCTGTGGTCAGAGAGGGCTCTGTCTCCCTTTGCAGAAGAGGCTGTGGTGAGGTCACAGAAGGTCGCAGTAGGAACACCAGGCCCCTGGTAGACTGTGTAGTGTGGGGTGCCTCCATTCACCACTTGAGGAAACTGGAACCCAGGGAGAAGTGGAGAGGGGAAAGCTCTGGCCTTGGTGGGGAGCGGTCAAGAGACCTGGGATTTCATCCCTGTGAGGCCTGGGGACCCTCCCCTGAACCTCAACTGGATCTGCAAAACCAGGGTGATGACACTTAGCTCAGAGGGTGGGTGTGAGCATTCTGGGAGAGGCTGGCATACCATAGGTGTCTCTTAGTGGAAGCTGACTGTGTCTGACCTTTATTTGTGACCATGTCTCAGACCATAAGCTCCCTGAGAATGGAAGCTGTGTTTGTTAGGGGATGAGGGGTGGGGACAAAGATGCTACTCCTTCCCAGCCCAGAAACTCACCATCTGGTTAAGAAAACACACCCAGGGCAGTTGAAGAGGGAGTCTGTACAAAGGACTGATTTGTGCAGTAGAGGATACACAGGTGGGCAATGGGTGCAGGGCTCCACCTTTCAGAGGATACCCTCTCATCCCCTGCCCTGCCCCCAGGACAGCACTCTGCAGTGCCTAGAGTCCTCCATTTGAGGTGAAGATTCTTCGTCTCCAAGAGAATTCAGGTCTGTCCTTCCTCATGCGTCAGCAGATCCATTCTGGGGAGGCCCTGTCCAGGCTGCCTCAGCCCCTGCCTGGATCATGGCCAGCCTTTAGCTGACCTGTTCATTTTTTCAATCAGATACATCTGGATTCTCTTCCTGGCTCTCTTTTACTGGCTATGTGAACTTAGGCAAGTAAGTTTTCATCTGTGAGTCTCAATATCCTTGACTGAGAAATAAGAGTGATACTGCCATCTTCTTTAGCTCATTGTGAGAAGTAAAAGGTTGTTGGCATATAGAAGATAGGCATGGGCAGTGTGCCTATGCCTTAAAATATGAGGGAGGCTCATATTTTAAGGAGTAATTTGGTGTAGTGGATAATCATGTAGATAGAGTAAGAACAATCTAGAAGTCTGCCCCAGTTTCTCTGGGAAAGAGTGATTAGTTTAGGATAGGGAGAAAGCCTTGAGGTCTACCAGTGGAGGTGACTTTGAGGCTGAGTAGAAGGTCTTCTGGTAGGATAAGGTATGAGAAGCTATAGAGGTGCACATGGTATGAAGAGAATAGTTGTGTGGGAAGAGAGAGGAGGATGTGACAGATAGGGATGAGGCCTGAAGTTATGTCAGTACCAGCCCTTGAGGCCTGTGTACCAGACTAAGAAATGTGGGCTTTATCTTCTAGGCAGAAGGAACCACTGAGGTGTCTGAGCAAGGAAGCAGCTTGTGTTTGAGGTTTAGAAAGATCATGACTGACTGTGGAATGGGATGGGCGTGAGAAGCAGGAAGACCAGGCGCAAGTTGCTGTGATTCCTGGGGGAGAGGGTTTAGAGACCGTTCCCAGGCACGCTGAGGGGTTCGGAGAGTGTGGGGAGAAAGTTAGCAAGGACACCAGCTTTGGAGTCTGACCAGCCTGGCTGAGACCGTGATTTCCTCTTCCAGCCTTGGGTGAGACAGTTCATCTTCTGTCTCAGTTTCTTCATCTGCAAAGTGGGATCAATGTGATGAGCTTCAGTGAGATGCCCCAAAATGTTAGCCAAAACACAGGGGCTAAGAAGGTGCTCACTGAGTTGGTTCCAACCCACAATAACACATTTTTTCTGTTAGTGCCCCATAATACTTACCACCTCATTTTTATTTTTCTGTCTCCACTCCAGGCCTTGCCTGCAGCCAGTGTCAGCACCAGTGCGCTGACATAATACCTTTTCCTGTTTGTTCACTTCTTGCTGTGAGTCCTTTTCCACAGCACCACACAGTTTCCCTTGCCAGCACAGCTCACTGCTACTGGTCACTCTGATGAACCGATGGAAGACTAGCCTTCAGCAGGACAGGGCCCTGGACCCTGAACTGGCCGCCAGCTTCGCCAGGGTGCGACTGGCCGTCTGAAACAAGGGCTGCCTGTTAAAGCCGCAGCCCTCAATCCTCCGAGCTCTGCTGCTCAACCTCCCTTCTCACTTGGCTTCTCAGCCGTTCAGACTTAATGAAAACATCTGCTAAGACCTAGCTCTAGGTCCCTCCGCTCCTGTGTGTCCCCCGGTGTTCTCCATCTCACTTAGTGGAAGTCTCCCACCTGCCAAGTCATTTAGACCAGAGTCCTTGTGTTTGGTCAAGTTCACAGGGGGTTTGCCCAGGATTCCCTGGATATTTTAGGATGAAACCGTCATTCTGGATGCCTCCCTCACCCTTACTCCCCACACCTAATCTACTGGCAAGTCGAGTCTGTCTCCTAAATTCACTGTTTTGTCTTTCTTTCTGGATTGCCTCAGACCAAATCAAGTCACTGTCATCTCTCATTTGAATGCCACAGCCTTATCTTCCAGTCCATTCTGCTCTTTTTATAGTAGCCAGAACAGTCGTTAACCAAATGCAAATCTGATGAAACCATTCTTTTTTTTTTAAGCCCAACT